AGTTTCCAGAAAATAAAGTCAATCTTGGTTCATCACAATTTAGTGAGTCTTATTAACTTCATAGTAAATGGAAAGCTTATAATTGGACCACAATGAATGGTTATGTTGAAAGAGGCAGTTGAAGGTATGGAAAAAATATATTAAAATCACTGAGGAAGGTCAACCTTAATAACATATTCAATAGTATTGCTGAGAATAAAGACAATGGAATTAGGTGGGTTTACCTTGGAAGATTTCCAGCACAGAATTTTTGAGTGATCAGACACACACACACACACACACAAAAAAAAAAAAAAAACAATGATATATAAATCAGACATAGCATATATTAAAAATCTATTCATTGATTCATTAACTTTTGTGGTGCTGGAAATTGAATCAAGGGCTTTAGGCATGCGTAGAAAATGCTCTACCACTGAACTCCTTTCCCAACTCTAAAAGTAGACTGTTTTGAATGTCAAATTAAGACACTATAAGTTTAAATGTAGGTTTTGCTGTTTAATTATAGTGCATAGAACACTTCTAGTTGCATGACCTGGGGAATATTATTGAAATTTCAAAAGTTTTAATTTTCTGAAATGGCAGTCTTATAGGTTAGGACCCTTTACATTGTAAACAAATCATGTCAGCTAAGTTTATTTCAAAAGGATTTTATTGGAAGAATAAGAAGTTCTTGGGCTGGGGAGGTGGCTCAAGCGGTAGCACGCTCGCCTGGCATGCGTGCGGCCCGGGTTCGATCCTCAGCACCACATACCAACAAAGATGTTGTGTCCGCCAAGAACTAAAAAATAAATATTAAAAATTCTCTCTCTCTCTCTCTCTCTCTCTCTCTCTCTCTCTCTCTCTCTCTCTCTCTCCCCCCTGTCTCACTCTCTCTTTAAAAAAAAAAAAAAGAATAAGAAGTTCTTAAAGTAAAAGGGAAGAAAGACAAATGAGTTTAGAAATGAAAAAGGGAAGTTATCTATGTTTTCAGTGCCAGAAATAAGTCATAGTTGCTGACCAGGGACCAACTCCAGAAAGGACGATTGCAACCACCCCATCTTTCCAAACCACTCTCCTTGCCTCTAGTTCTACTTAGCATCTTCAGCAAGCTGGAAATATGAGTTTGATATATTATGCTGCATGACCTTCCTTATCTGAGCCAATCAGAGCAAAGATCTGCTGAATGGGAGCACCAGAGACCTCTAATGTTTTCAGTTGTAGAGCTACAACCAAAAGTTTTCCCCAAAAGAGTACTGGAGACTACTGAGAAGGGAACAGTTGGTGTCATGGCTGCAAAGTCCTAGACTCTTTGATATATAGTATCCATTATAAGAGCTAAAATTTGTTTCCTCTAACAAGGGTTTTCCTTTCATAGTCTCAGTTACTGTTTCCCATAACCCTGTGAAGTTGGAAAGCTATTTTACTTATAAGCAAACTGAGACTGTGGAATATTTAGTTACTTGTTGTTCTCAGTCACATATATAGGAAAGACAACTTTGGAATTGAACCTGGGATTCTAAATCGTAGGAATTGCTACATACCACTCCAAATGTACACATTCAAATATATACCATGTGAAAAGTCCTCCAGAAATATATGTGCTTACTAAAATACATCCTTCATGACCATAAATGAGGGAAAGTTAATTCAGTGAAAGTTTGTATGGAAAATCTTGTCCATGCTTGTGTTGTACCTGTGTATACCATTACAGAAATGTAGACACACTAAACAATGTAAATTTCAATAACAAACAACTATAATTTTGTTTATATGTAAGAATAACAGGCATGAAATCTAAAATATAATAGAAGAAAACTATATGGGAGTACAGGCCTTATCCAATATTTGTATATATCAAAAAACACAATACTTAGAAAATGTAGAATTGATTCTCAAGAAAGATACAGCACAATGTTTTTTTTTTAATTTAAATGTCTAAAAACACATTCAATCACATGTGAGAATTGACTTTATTATAAATATTGCTAAATTACAAGAAGAAGAAAAGACTATTTAATAAGTGAAAGAAATACTTAGTCAAGCAACTAAAAATAAGTTGAAGCTCGACATGGTAAATTAGGATGAATATTGATTGATCCAAATGCTATGAATATTGTAAATAATTTTATGTAAAAAAAGAAAGACTATAACATAACTGTAAAACAATAAAAACATCAACATATTCATTTGTATTATTTTTATGAGGAGACATTTGTTATGATGCTTGGATATAGAGAAAACTGAAGAAACATTTAAACATATAGTTAAATAAAATAGTGATGTGAAGAATTTAGTGGCACAATAATACCATAAGCACTGTCAATAAAACATGAAATTATGAAAGCATTTATAATACATTTAATGGGGGGAAATGCTCCTGATACATGCAGTGATCCTAAATGCATGAAAAAAAGCACAATTCACAAGAAAACTAATTGAAATCTATTAAATAGATAGATTGTATAGAAGACAATACGAATGAAATTTTATGAACAGGTGTTCAACATCTCTCACTGTGTGAAAAATTAAAACCATAGTAATATATTTATTAAATATATAAGATTATAACAATCCGGGTTTGAAAATATACTTTTTTATATAGGCTAGGAAGGTCAGCATTCTGTAAGTTTAAGATGACAGTTCAAATTCATGCAACATATATGGAAGAACCCTTGGCAAGATACATTCCAGTTTTGTCACATTATTTTAACTAGCTTTCTGAAACCATAACAAAATACATTACATAATCAAGTTAAAAAGAGAAAAGGATTATTTCGGCTCAAGGCTCACAGTTTTGATGTTTCCAGAAATCAGTTGGCTCATTTCTTTGGGTACATCAGAATACGAACACATGATGAAGCAAAACCACTTACTTACCTCATGTCCAGGAAGAGAGAGAGAGAGAGAGAGAGAGAGAGAGAGAGAGAGAGAGAATGGATCCAGAGTCCCTTAATCCCTTATAAGGGTAAGGGTATACCTCTAATGATCTAAAAGGACCCTACCTCTCAAAGTTTCAACCACTTTCCAATAGTACCACTCTGGGGACCAAACTTGAAACACCTGAGACTTGAAGGGACATTCAAGTGCCAAATTCTAGCACTTTCAGTATTATCTCTGTGTATTCTACATATTTACCCTACAATTGTATCTCTACAATCAAGAAATGACCTTTATATAAAATCATATATAATTTTATATGTAGCATATATGCATTAGTTTGTAATAGAAAGTTGAAAAATGACCATTGTGCCCATCAATATATCTCTCGACCAATTTATCCATTTTCCATCCAAACATCGAGCAAATTCAAAGAAGAGTGAAGGATTCTTTTATGCACCAATGTGAAAAGATTTTAAAGATGCATTGTCAAGTGGGAAAAACAAGAAAGATTGAGAATACAGTATTAAAATAGTACTTCTATCAAAGGATACACATACACACACACAATTTGCTTATATTGTCAAAAATGATCTTTTTCTTTAAGGAATACAGAAAAAACAATCCATTCCTGTGACACAACTGTGTTGTATGTGCAAGGTGTGAATTAGTTTGGGAGTGGGGTAAGGTAAATGGCTGCAGGATCAGGAACAAGACTCATTTCATTTTATCCCCCTTTTTATCTCTACTTTTGAACTAAAAATCACTTATTTACCCAGTGATTTGAGAAGGTTAAAAAATCCCTTAGTATGTTTAAATTTTTTTATTTTTTTTTACTCTTCTGTTCTGCCAAGCCAAGAAATTTAATCATAGGTTCCATCTCCAGAGTTGTAATATGAAACTTTATTTCAGTAGCAACTATGACTAAATGCTAAACAGTCATAAATTTTTCCCTAAGGAGTTGATAAACCAAATACTATTCCAGTATTAATTGTTCATAGTTATATAATTATTTGCCTTTCTTGATAAATAAAGAATTTGGATTTTCCTTAGATGTTATGTCACCAATGGTCAATCAATAGAGCCTGGCTGTTAGCACATATGATTCAATTTTATATTCCTAGGCTCTATCAATTCATATGAAGTAATTGAACATTTAATACAAAATCAAAATATCATTTATTACTATTTCAAAAACTACTGAATTACTGACATACAGAAGTGGTTTTCATTAGGTATATCAACATTATATAAAGAGAGTCTAGAAATATGAGAAATAGTGCTAGATTTGTTTTTTCCTCCCTGGTCTATTTAACAAAATCTTAAATATGCCTTTGATATCCTAAGACTCTCTCATTGCAGCTTCATTAGCTAACTCAGTAAGCTTGTTAGGCTAGGAAATTTGTTATCTAGACACACAGATGATTGTGATTGTCCACATGTGGAATTCCATTTTTAATCTATACTTATTTCCCTTGCTTCCCTGGTAGTCTACAAGCAAATACGAATGTTTCTTTACATTATTCTGTTTGGGATTACCTGTCCCATGCAAAATTTTAATTAGAAAAATGAGTAATAATAACAATGATAAGTTGTATACTTGGTGTTAAAACACAGCAGGGAGTAACAAATACAAATTCATATGTAAGATCTTCTCTGTAGTTTGAAGAGACCATTATTCTTTGTTTTAATATATATATTACAGCAATAGGTGTTGTAATGCATGTGCATTTTTCACAATTTAGATATGGACAGAAACTATATTTAGAGAAATTTCAAGGTACTTCATATTCTTTAGTACAACTTATTTCATAGAAAATGAAATAGAGGCAAGGAGATGAGATATTTCATCATTTAATAGTTAAACTCACTGACTCTGGAGCAAGTGCCAGTGTATGGAATCACTATTATAAGATGTCTCTTATTCAATCTACTATGTCCTAAAAGCCAGTGTGTCAGAATCATATGATGGATTATAAAAGGAATCACAAATAAGAAACACTGGGTAATATTTTTCTAAAGTAAATTTAATTAACTCACTCAATCCTTTGTTTCATAACTTTAGTCTGCCATTGCTTTTAACACCTTTGTTTATATGTTATTGACATCTAATAAATGACACATATATACAATTTGATAAATCATCACATATGTCTATATCCATTGAAACAATTGCCACAAGCAAGGTGAACATTTTCATGACCCCCAATAGTTTACTTATGCCCTTTCATAATCCTGCATTACTAATTTGCTCTATCAAAGAGTACTTGTATAGTGACAGATTATTGCAATTTGAGGATATTATTTTTTTTTTAACCTGACAAACCAAAATATATATCACTCTACTTAATAAATAACTTTTAAGGGCTTACTGTGCAAACATTATTCCAGGCTGTAGAAAATCAGTGGGAGGGTAAGAGTAAGAAAACTGCCCTCATTTACCTTGTACGTTTGAATTGAAGGAGCCAGCCATTAAACATGAGGTGACACTAAGGCAATAAAGACAAATCAAGCAGTGTGATGGGACACGAAACACAGGGGATGCTCAGTGGAATGACATCCTTCTTGATCTTCAAAATGGATCTAATAGAAAGAACAGCACAAGTTTGTAGTATTAAATAAAATAATAACAGTGATTCGCATGGTTTTTAAGCCATCATAAATAGTTAATGTAAAAACGTGCTTCAGAATCATGGCCAAGATCCCAGAGCAGGGAGAGATGAAATTCCAAGGCAGCTCTAAATTTTCTCAGGCTGCCTTCATATGTTAAAATTTCTAATCAGAACTAAGTATTTCAAGTGAGCCAAGAGAAGTATAAACAAAAACTGGTTGACTTTTGCATTCTGAAACATTAAAATTGCCAGATGACAAGTTATAAGGGCATTTCTTTATCTGTTTTTCATTGGATAAAGTTCCCTTCCACGTAATGACATTTGCATTTGCTCAGTATGAAATAGAGGATTAATATTTTTTGCAGCATAACAAATACCTGGACTTTCTAAAACTGCTATTAAACTAGGTGTTTTCTCCTGTAATTAATATAGCAAATTAATAGAGCCCAACAAGCTGAACCCCAAATGTGAAATGAAAGCAACTTACGAAATTGATGGCCCTTTTGACACCTTCCAACACGTATGCCAGTGAGCCTTGTCAGAGACCTAATTGCTGATGAAGTGGTATAAAGTCATTTTAATCAACCACCTCTAGACAATTACCTAATAATGAAACATTTTTAATTTTCAAAAGAATACAAAATTCATGAGTTTTAATTTTTTTTTGTTTGTTTTCCTCACCCCTTTCAGTTTTCCTTATGCTAAGCACCCACTGAGAGTTTATTGACTAAAACTATCATGTACTCTCTTGATGCTGTAACAATGGTTTACCTTGGGTTGCTACTTCAGTTGTAGCTGAGTTATCCACTAAATACAAGGCTTAATTGAGCTCCTCTCAAGTTGCTCAAAACTTTTCTTTCTCAGAAAACAATTGTATATTCGTTTCTGTGTAAGAATTAGGCATTTTATTTTCTCAAGCTCAACAACAGAGCTTTATTGGATTGGGCCATTTTAATGCAAATGTTTCTGGAGAGCCCTATATAAACATATGTACATATTGCTAACTGAAAACCAATTACATCTTTTTTAAATACTTTTTATTTTTTGGCTTCAAGAACAAGCGGGGTATTCTGCTTAGTTTAATTTTCTGGTTGAGGACTAACATAGTTTAATTGTTTTTTATGATAAAAACTTGAAGAACTTTATTCAATCCTTCTAAATACTTTTTTTATTTTAAGGAAGAAGAGATAGTATGTACTTCAATGAATATATGTGCATGCATTATAGAGGGTATATAAATCTGCAGATTTATACTATTGTTTTTAACCTTGATCTACATTTTACTTTGTTGAAAATGCAAGTTTGAAGGCCATGCAAGTTTAACTGTTGCCTCTTAATAAAATTAGAGTACAGTGAAAAAGAAAAGAAACCACCAATAGGAATCAACTACACAATTTCCATGAAATTTTAGCTAGAAGTATCACTTCTGAACAGGTAGATGACACTTATCAGCAAGCGTGAACAGAAGAGGGATAGATATGCTATCTATCCATACATAAGCAGAGATCATAAAAGTAATTTCTTAATTACTTGTAGCTGGAAGACAATTGAGATAATTTTATCGAATTTCCTCATTTCCCAGGTGACTACTAAAGCCAAAGACCTTTAGTAGTAAGTCCAAAAAAGTCATAGCTAGAGAATGAAAGTTGCAGCATCAGAATTTTTAAAATGAGAAGACACAGAGCATTTAACATGAGAAAAATAAGGATTGTTTTTTTAAGGTATTCATGAAAATGAAGGTTAATATGAAGATGATGTTCTCTAGCTTGTTCTCATTTCTCTGGTGATTGCAACTGAGGGTATGTTCTGCAGGATAATTAAAATATAGAAGAGGCTCTTACATGGTGTTTGGACTACTCAGATGGTATTTCTATACATAAAGACAAGATTATACCACATTAACACTGGAAGGTTTAGAAGATTACTGATCATTAGAAATGAGTTGCCTCTAGCCTATTGCCTGGTGCTCAATCAAAGCATTTTAAATCTGTAGTCCTGTCTATTTTCCCATGCGTATGAGTTTATGTCCCAGTCCTTAGCAAAGTACTCCTGAGAAGCCTTTTGACACCTCTTGGAAAAATGTCCATTATCTATTTGAATGGGATGGATATAAGTTAAGCATGTAGCTACTTTAGCAATAAATTCCAAATTTTTGTGGGGTAACTTCTACATATTGTGCTAACACAAAAGAATACATTGCTCATTCATATGTATCAGAATAATGCTTCTGTTTCTGGGTGACTGTTGTGTTTCACATGGAGATTCAGGCTCTAGGCTCTTCCAGTCTATGAATCAAGAATTCCCTTGTGATTTCACTGTATCTTATATCTGGACATCTGAATAGAGAATGGGAATATACCTTTCAGTCTAGAAACAAAAGTAATGGAGTTTCTTACCAGAGGGTGGAGTGTAGGGAAAGAAAAGCGAAATTAGCCTAAGGGGGAAAAATAATCTAACCCTTGGCTGACCAGTAATTTCCTTGAAAATATTTACTAACATGTTAAGAGCACAGATCTTTGGAGAGCAGGCACCTAGCTCTCACAGAACACATGTGTGAGGAATATTTCGTCTTCTCGGAATAGAATTTATCCTGTTGGATAAATTTATCCAGCTGGAATAGTGGTAGCAATGTTGAAGACATGTAAAAACAAGGTTGAATATGAGGAGAACCTCCTTAAAACTTCAAAATGAAACCTGGAAAGAGCCTGAGATTCTTAAGCATGTGCTAACTCCAGAGTTCTTGGTTTTTATAAAACAAAAGTGTTAATCACTTAAGTATATATATTTGAATAATGTAAACATATTTCATATTTATAGATACACACATATATCAGCATATATATATATATATAATATACTTTTGCAGCAAAAACAACTGAAATAAAGATTTTTTTAAAGGATATAATAGAAATCATACAGTAGTAATACAAAAACTATTAAAAAGCTAGTAAAGAAATGGTAACATCTAATCACAATGATATTAACCATCAGACTTGTGTGCATATGAAAATCACTTTATAAAATTTAAAACTTGATGCTTAGTAAGTATTTGTTAACCATTAGAAAGAGATGAGACATTTTATCAAGTAAAACACAAGTTACATTTCTCAATGTATTTATTTCAACATGAATAATACAAAAATGGCTGCATGTTGAATTTGTGTGTTTTTCCTCTTTAACTGTTTTGTGAATTCCCTCTTACTGTCCACCAGCCAGATAAGAGTGTTATCCTGTTATTCAGTTGCTTCATTAATACCCTTCCCCATTGTATTGTTGTACTCTCTAGCTTGTGTGACCAGGACTCTAAGCAAAAGTGCTTTTTTAAAATTATGTGACTAGATTTGCAATGGTTGACTAAAAGGGTAGCTTATGAATGTGAAATATGTGCTTCCTATTTGGGGTCCTCAGAGAATTTTTTACCCACTTTACTTTCATCTAGGACTTTTGTTTTTTTATATATAGGTGATATTTGAACTTGGATAAAGAAAACATAATACAAATTATAAGACCACTGAAACATTTTTCCTCAGAATATAAATATAGCCTATAAAATTGCATTTATACAAGGCTTATATTTTCTGAGTACATTGGTTACTCATAACCAATGCCAAAATAACGATCAGCCTAGTGCACATATAATTATCTTAAAGGTCTGAGTATGAAATCCCTGCTAATGATATTTACTGTAACTCGGGAAGCAAATTAGACGAATATTAAAGCTTTCACATTTCAGTATGCATAGATAGATTTGTATGTAATTACAAAATAATGCCACTGATGAGGTTTTTATTTTTCCCACAAAAAATAAAGACAAATAAATGATATTTTTCCTTTAAGGAATAATTTGGGAAATTTCAGTAAAAAAATAATTTTTCTTCTACGGATATTTTATCTCAGTGAAATAGATTATTATTTCGGAAACTTGAGACAAATGTTCATTTCAAAGCTACTTTCCCTTTGCTAACAACAAAAGTAAAAGATTTCCTGTTATACTAAAGCACAGATAATCTGGATGATGTTTATACTTATGAAAGAAAACAAACTACATTTTATTACACCAATTAATTAATTACCAAGTCAAAATTTTGCTATGGGTTTAACATAATACTAATTAAGCAAGAATAAAAGTGAAGTATAAATCCTAACTTATCCATGAACAATTTATGATTCATTTTAGAGAACAGATACACCAATAAAACAACAATTTATAATTAAGAATACAATGATATATCAATATATATATATATATATAAATGGAGACATGCTGATGTTTTTAATAATAAGCAACTGACATTTGAAAATGCAATTGGAAATATATTACACAACAGGATTTTTTTTATGGATTCAGTATTAGACAAAATAGGTGTTAGATAATGATTCAGCAAAGACATCATAGTGCACTGGAGAAGACATAGTTATCAAATATAATTCAGGTTGAGGCTTTGAAGTCTGTGGTGCTCTTGGCATATAGCAACAAGCCATCAGACAGTCTAAAACTAAGCTAACACGTCTTCTTAGAAGAGATCAAATCTGAACAGAATTTTAAAGGAGAGCAAAGGAGTTGGAATGTAGAGGATGTTCTAAGCAGAGGGAACAGAATTTGGAATATTTTAGAGAAATCATTGTTTGTTGCAAATAATACCTTACTAGAATGGTGCATGGTTATATGTGGATATGGCTGTATACTGTATTGTCGAGAGCCATCTGTGAACTTTGCAGGGACTAAACCAGCATTGCAACCAGTGAGTAGGAAAATCTGATATCTGGGAACTTCCAGTGGCAATCCTGTTGGTTAAGACCTCCCAGATACATGTGAATTTCTATTCAGTTCTGTCAGTTCCAACTCAGCATCAGAGATAGGGCACACAGACTCTCAGAGATGGGTGTGGCTTCCCAAGATGCCAATCAACCTGTTGACTGCAAGAGATCACGAAACAAGACCCCAACCCTGGAACCTTGTCTTTGCCTTTG